AGAAAGAAAGGTGGAAGACATGAAGGAGAACTACATACGTGTTTATTAATACTGAAAAAGGCAATCTGAACAGTCTACATACTACATGGTTCCAATACTAAAACATTCTGGAAAAGACAGAACTATCAAGATAGTGAAGGACAGTCCTTTGCCAGGGTTTGAGGGGAAGGAAGGATGAGTAGGTAGAGCACAGAGGATTTTCAGGGTAGTTAGTGCAGTGAAAATACTCTGTGGGGTACTACGGTGGCGGGTACATGTCACTAGACACTTGTCCAAACTCATAAATTGGTTGGGTGTGGTGGTGCATGACTGTAGTCGCAGCACTCAGGAGGTTGGGGCAGAAGTATTGCCGTGAGATCAAGGCTAGCCTGGGCTACATAGTGAATTTAAAAGCCCTGAACTATACGGCGAGACCCTATGTCAAAATTAATTAATTAATAAAATAAAAACAAACCCATACATTGTTCACAAGAGTGAAACTTCATGCAAAGTGCAGACTTAGGGCAATACTATGTGTCCATGTTGATTCATTAATTGTAACAAATGCACCTTCTTGCACTAGCTGTTGAGAGTGGAGGAGGCAATCCGTGAGTGCAGGAGTTATTTTGGAGCTTTCTGTGCCTTCCTGTCAATTTTGCTGTGAATAGAATTGAAAACAATGAGTCTGTTGAAAAACAACAGACACAGTAAATGAGAGGTGGGAGCAGGACAGGCAGATACATCTTGTGAATGGCACAGACATCCCCAGCAGAGATCCTTACCTCGAGCAGCACTTGCAGTGGATGGGATTAGGCAGCCGGCAGGATTCTGCTTCAGGGAGAGGGAGAGAACTGAGCTCCTCCAAAGACGAGGGGCGCTGCCCAGCAGACACTGGAACACAAGCAGCACACGGGCACCCAGAAAGATGAGGGAGAGTTGCAAGGGGTGGTTAGAGAATCTTAGTTTTTTTGGGGTTTTTTTGTTTTTTTTTAAAGGGCCAGGGGTATAGCTCAGTGGCACAAGCATCTGCCTGGCAAACGCAAGGTCCTGAATTCGATTCCCAAAACAAAACAAAACAAAAAAAAGACTTGATGTTTTACCGCAGGGCGTGGTGGTGTACACCTGTAATCCCAGCACTCGGGAGGCTGAGGCAGGAGGATCATTGTGTAGCCTGGGCTACAAAGTGAGCTCAAGGCCAGCCTGAACTGCATAGTGAGACCCTGTCTCAAAAAGACAAAAAAAAAAAGTCTGAGCCAACCACTGTGATGCATGCTAGTAATCCCAGCACTCTGGGAGGCAGAGGCAAGAGGATTGCAAGTTTCAGTCCAGTCTGGACAATTGAGGGAGACGCTGTCTCTACACAAAATTTTTTTCTTTTCTTTTTTTTTCCTTGTTGAGATAGGGTCTCACTATGCAGTCCAGGCTGGCCTCAAGCTCACTTTGTAGCCCAGGCTTGTCTCAAACTCATAGTAATCCTACCTCAGCCTCCCAAGTGCTGGAATTATAGGCGTGCATCACCACGTCTGGCTAAAGAAAAAAGTAAAAAGAGCTAAAGAAGTAACTGGATGCGAAGGCCATGGATTCAATTCCTGATACTGCACCCCCACAAAAAAAAAAATCTCAGAAAATATTTTCTTCCAGAAGGAGAGAGCCTCAACCTTATAGGGAACTATTGAGTACTGGGTCCACACTAAATAGGCCAGGGATCACTGATGGTGATTGTGAAAGAAGGACGT